TAGTCTCCCATTGGTGTGAAGCACAGAGACCACGAAGAAGATAAACAGGTTGCTTACCAGTAACTGGTGATCTTAGAGTGGTCATCTGTGCATTCACACCGCCCGCCCTCCTTCCCCTCTGCTGTCAGCTCCTGATTTTTTGATAGGTGTTGATTGGCGGCGGTGCTTTGAAGGAACTGGCGGGATCTCCGCGCCCGTCCCCTCTGGGCATGCGTGCTGGGGTTCCTGCGCATGCTCAGTGGGACTCGCGCGAAAATCCTTTGAAACATAGCTTGCTACGGCACCGGTTGGGTCAGCGCAGGCGCACTAAACCCATTGGTGTGAATGCACAGATGACCACTCGAAGATCACCAGTTACTGGTAAGCAACCTGTTTTTCTGTGTGCACCTATGTCACTTGGTGGGCTTAGATCCATCCCTTTGCCCTCCCTCTCCTCTATAGAAGGGCTACCGGTTTCCAGTTGATTATATCATTCTGGTAAAGGTTTCCCTTGCTCGAAAGCCAGTCGAGTCCGACTCTAGGGTTGCGGTGCCCATCTCTGTTTCCAAGCCGAAGAGCCAGCGCTGTCCGAAGACGTTTCCGTGGTCATGTGGCCGGCGTGACTAAAACACCAAGGGCTGTTACCTTCCCACCGAAGCGGTACCTATTTATCTACTTGCAATGTCTTGCTTTCGAACGGCTAGGTTGGCAGGAGCTGGGACTAGAGACGGGAGCTCACTCCGTCATGCGGCACACTCGGGGTCTCGAACTACCGACCTTCCACAGCCTGCAGTTCAGCGTCTTAACCCCTTGGGCCACCGCGGCTCTTTATCATTCTATTTACTGATAAATGGGGAGGATCTATAGCTCAGTGGACGAGTGTCTGCTTGGCAAGGTCCTAGGCTGGCAGTAGGTAATGTGGAAGACCGTTCTCTGCCGGACACCTTAGAGAGCCACTGCCAGTCTGAGTGGACAGTACTGACCTTGATGGACCAAAGGTCTGATCCACTATAAGGCAGATTTGAGGTGCTCTGTTGCATTCCCCCCCCCCTCCCGCCCGGACAGGGAAAATAATGAGATTTCAAATTATTCTTATGTCTTCAGTGCAGCACCTGAAGAGAAACCTAAGATAGGCCCAGATTGGGTGACTCCTGATACATGTCTTTTGCTGGGCGGTCTTGTGTGGTGGCCCAAGTGGTTAAGACGCTGAACTGCAGGCTGTGGAAGGTCAGTAGTTCAGCAGTTTGAGACCCGAGTGTGCCGCATGATGGAGTGAGCTCCTGTCTAGTTCCAGCTCCTGCCAACCCAGCCGTTCGAAAGCAAGAAATTGCAAGTAGATAAATAGGTACCACTTCGGTGGGAAGGAAACAGCGCTCCGTGCGCCTTGGTGTTTAGTCACGCCGGCCACATGACCACGGAAACGTCTTTGGACAGCGCTGGCTCTTCGGCTTTGAAACGGAGATGAGCACCGCAACCCTAGAGTCGGACTCGGCTGGCTTTCGAGCAAGGGAACCCTTTACCTTTACCTTGTGTCTTGGGCGTTCTACTGTTCTTGCAGACAGTAACCCCTCTTGTTGAAGAGGGAAGCTTCCAATGGTAGCATCCCAATGTTCCCTTTCACTGGGTTCATACTGAGCTGCCTCTCTGTGCGCAGAGACTAGCGTGGCCCATGTGAGGCTCCTGGATTAAATTATTCCCGCTACTTTGACAGGTCTTTAACGATTCCTTTCAAAGCAACCCCCCCCCCCTTCTTTTACTAAGATAGTCAGCTCTGTTCAGCTTCTACTGCTGCGTCTCCTGGCATTTTTTCCACATCTGTATGTGGCACTGTAAACAAAACTGTTGTTTTGCTGTGTCTTTTACCCTTCACGGGAGGCCCAGACTTAGTTTTCTTTCTTTCTGGGACACACCTAACATGCACCGTGCATGTGGTCTCAGCAGGGCCCTTTCTCTCACAGCATTTGTCTGTGATCATCTGGAAGTAGTGCCATCTCCGATGGCTCCTTCGCTATGTGTGGGAACCTTTCCCAGCAACTCCTGGTGTTCCGCAATATTGTCTCGACAGGACTTTATCCTTGACATGATGGGCATATATCTACTTTGTCTCTGGTTTTAGTTCCCTGGTATTTTGATTGGCAGTCTGGGCTACTTGGCACGGCCCCACAATATGACATTCCAGGCCCTGGCCTTTATGCTTTATTCCTGACAATAGCCCTGTCGTTGGGGAATGCACTTCTAATCCCTGACAAAGGCAACCTGTTTTTATGCCATTTTCCCCCTCTGCCTATATTGGTGCATAGATCGCTCTGCGGACGACGCAAGTTTTTTCCCTTGTGCTGCATTGTGTCCGTCCTTTCTTTAGCCACATCACAACTCTTCTCACTGCCTTTGTTACCATCATGTAGATCTGCTTAATCTGACTCCTGCTGACAAATTAATACTTTGATCATCTCCTTTCCTGCATTGTAGCAGAACATAAGAACATAAGAGACACCAATGTTGGATCAGGCCAAAGGCCCATCCAGTCCAACACTCTGTCACACAGTGGCCAAAAATACCAGGTGCCATCAGGAGGTCCACCAGTGGGGCCAGGACATTAGAAGCCCTCCCACTCTTGCCCCCCCCCCGCCCAAGCACCAAGATGACAGAGCATCACTTGCCCCAGAGTCCCTATCTATAGCCACTGATGGACCTCTGCTCCATATGCTTATCTAATTCCCTTTTGAAGCCCTCCATGCTTGTAGCCGCCACCACTTCCTGTGGCAGTGAATTCCATGTGTAGCCTCCCATTTTTCTGAGTGGCAAACACCACTCTTGTAGTACCAGACCTTGCACCTCTAAGTGGGGAGGAGTCTCTCTACAGAAACTGCAGCAAGGTTTAGACCCTGCTTCTTGTGCTGTTGAATGTTTTTGGCAACTGGTTTGGACAAATAAAAAAGACAACAACAAAATGATCTTGTCCTTGTTGGGTTGCTCAGCATGCTACGAAAGAGGGGTATAACCCCTTGTTTTATTTTTGGCACTTCCATGGTGCCTCATTGACGATAGGGTTCTAACTTATACCCTCTCCATGCATGGAGTTTCAAAAGGTGATGTCCCGCAGTAATCCCCTACCAAGTGTTATCTCTCACTCCTCATGTAATGGATGGTCAGCGTCCTCACACAACCCGTCCCTGTGAGTCGGTTGATGCCGTTCACACTGTTTTTGAGTGCACAGCCCTTCATTACCACTCTATGTATGATGGCTCTTTTCAAAGAGTGCTCTTTTTCCTTTGCCGCATTCCTACACATATTTCGGTGGGGACACTTGCAGAGCTTACTGCTCTAAGACGGTTGTGGGCAAAGGTCAATTTGCGCCGCTAAACAACCGTTGATAAAAGCGGTCCTCGGTGGTCTCCTTCTGAGAGATTCACACCCACCTCCTTCACGCAGTGGTCTTGCTAATCTTCCCATGTGGCGCAGAAGCCACGACGATGAAAACAAGGTCGCACTTACCTGTAACTGTTATTCATCGAGTGGTCTTCTATGCAGGCGCACATCCCTCCCTCCTGCCCCGCTGTGAACTCTCTGGAACTTTGGTTTTCTAGGGGTCTCCGGCGGCGGCATGGAGAGAACTGAGGGAGTAGCGCCCCTCCTCCTGGTCATGTGAGCGTTTTGGCAGGAAAGCGCCAGAGGGAGGAGGGGCGCTCCTAGTCTGTTAGAAAGCTTGGAAATCTTTTCTGTGGCTGGCCTGCGAGCGCGCAGTCCCCATGTGTGCCTGCACAGAAGACCACTCGGTGAACAACAGTCACAGGTAAGTGCGACCTTGTTTTCCTACGGATCAGCAAAAACCATCCTATATTCAACCCAGACCGAGAGATCCTGATCTAGATGTTTGTGTACTCTCTTTTAATTCTAACAATGCAGGAGGATTCCTCCTAACTCCCCTTCAACAAAATACAAAACAACACCCCCCCCCCCAAACTTAGATTGCTAAAAAGCATTAATGTTCCCGTGAGAGCCAGTTTGGTGTAGTGGTTAAGTGTGCGGACTCTAATCTGGGAGAACCGGGTTTGATTCTCCACTCCTCCACTTGCACCTGCTGATGTGACCTTGGGTCAGTCACAAGCTCTGGCACAGCTGTTCCTGAAAGAGCAGTTTGTGTCAGAGTTCTCTCAGCCCCACCCACCTCATGGGGTGTCTGTTGTGGGGAGGGGAAGGGAAAGGAGTTTGTAAGCCGCTCTGAGACTCCAAGTGAAGGGCGGGGTATAAATCCAATCTCTTCTTCTTCTTCTTCTTCTTCCTTGTCTTATTTCTTGGTCTGAAAGACAACGACGGAGCACAGGACCAACCGCCCCAGTCCTCATTGTAGAAACAAATACTACAAATACCATTTATTTCTGGATAGAAAAATAGTGAACATTGGGCTAAAGATGACGCACAAAGGCCCTTTTCACGATGCACCAAAGATGAGGTTTGATGCCGAGTGAGCCACCGTTCTGCACCCCAGCCCATGTTCTCTAGTTCCATAACTCCTGACTCCCCCGGGGCTTCTACAGTCCCCTAATTTTCATCCACATGAGGATTGTAAACCAGCATTTTCGGTTAGCCGCTGTCCGAGCCGAACGAGTGCGGGGCGGGAGCCTCCCCTCTCAGCGACAGCCGCATTCGTCCACCACCATGTCCTCGTAATGCCGCAACACCACGTTGTCGTCGTTGTCGTAGTACAAGATGGAGATGGGCGAGAGGCGTACCGGGACGCAGCAGGGCTGTGGGGTCCCTTCGGGGTCCAGGGAGTGGACCATGGTTTGCAAGATGGCGTGGTTGGTGCTGTTGAGCTCCTCCGTCAAGGGGAAGGGGCACTCCCCCAGACAGTAGTTCGCCATGTAGCCCTGTGGGGCTATGATCCAGTTCTCCCAGCCGATGTCACCAAAGCTGATGTACAGCCGGCGGGGCTTGCAGACGTTGCTGAGGCCGGCCGGCACGTAGTGGGAGCTTCGCTTGGCCCTGCTCCCTTTGCAGTGTTTGGGGGCGAGGGAGATCACCAGCAGAGAAGCGTCCAGGAAGGAATCCAGGTTAGAGCAAAACGCACCTGCCTGGGGCGAGGCAATTTCCAAGATCAGGCCCAGGTTTCTGCCGGTGACCCGCCAATCTCTCGCTACCTCGGTCAGGTTGAAGAGGAAAGACTTGTGTAAGTGCAGGAAGGACTGTTCCACCAGCAGATTTCGGCTGTAAGCGTGGGTCGACATGCCCCGCAAGGCCATCTGGGAAGCTCTGTAGAGGCTCAGCTCAAAGGGCAGCTTGGATCCAGAAGCGTGGTAGGAATTTTGGCCGAACCTGATCTGGAGCTGAGCCATTGTCAGTTCTTCGGCTTCCTCCAGGGCGGAGAAGTTGAAATACAGCCGCTTCTGGAGACACACCCAACTCTGGGGCTCCTCTCTGTGAATGAAGCCACCTGGAAGGACAAGAGGAATGAGCAACATTTTTTAATGTAATGTTTACTTTGAAGTTTGAAATGAGAACCCAAAAATCTGCTTGTTCAGAGGGCCAGCAGGCTAGGCAGATTGATACTGGGCTCTTCTACATTCACAATTTTTGTCCCTCCTCTGTTCCTATTGCTTTTTTTCTTTTTTGCATGTGTGTTGCTCCCTCTAGTGGCCAGTTTGATATTACATCTCTGTCTGGCATAACAACCCACAGTTTAAATCTGCAAGGAGATGTGCCGGACATACAGCGATGTAATGTCGAAGAGGGAGCAAAACACATGACGAAAAGGGGAAAAAACCCAAAGCAATAGGGATGCACAAGCGAGGAAAATGCGAACACAGAAGGGCCAACTGTTTCCCAACCTTGCCTGCCACAAAAAAACACATTCAGCCATCCAATGGAAGAGGATGGGAGAGGGAAAAAAATCCAGAACGCATAAGATAACAGCAGCTGCAGGATAGACTAGGAACATCTGAATCAAGAAACTGCTTAACTGACATTGTACTCTTCATTCTGAGCATAATAAATCAAATAAAGAAGAGGAGATTCGGATTATACCCCACCCTTCACTATCTGAAGGAGTCTCAGAGTGGTTTACAATCTCCTTTCCCTTTCCCTCCCCACAACAGACACCTTGTGAGGTAGGTGGGGCTGAGAGTGCCCTTTCGAGGGCTGCTCCTGAGAGAACAGCTCTGAGAGAAGTGTGACTGGCCCAATGTCACACCAGCAGCTGCAAGTGGAGGAGTGGGGAATCAAACCCGGTTCTCCCAGATTAGAGTCCGCGCACTTAACCACTACACCAAACTGGCTCTTAAACAAGGACTTTAACAATCAGGAGAAACATCAACGGAAAAGCACTCTTGCATCTCAGGTCTGGTCAGAAAATGGAGCCCACAAAATGGTTTGGAGTCCACTCCGTACCACAGGAAGAAGGGCCTCTCCCACCCCTCCTTCCCTGAAATATCTGGGACCTGTTGACAAGAATAGGAACTCCACTCCAAATTTACATGCAAACTAAGGAGAAGAAAGAAAAGGGCCAAAGGGAATTGGCATACCATCCCAAATTCACATACCGACTAAGGGGGGAAAGGAAAACGCCAAAACAGGATTTACCTTCCCAAAGCCATGTCACAGACAGAAATCACAGGTAAAGCCAGTGGCATTAGAAGAAAAACTTACCAAACCGTCCCCAAGCAAGGCTCCCTCTAAGCTGTGGAGTCTTGTGAGCAAAATTCTACTTTGTGAGCTACTGGCATTAAAGTTTGGCTGCTGCGTAAATCCGTTTGCTCTGGAGCCCACCTTCCTGAGCTAAGAAAAAAATGTGTGAACTGGAGGCTAAAAACTGTGAGCTAGCTCACCTTAGGTCAGCTTAGAGGGAACACTGCAGCATTGCAGGGGGAAGGGAAAAGACAATTCTGTTAGTGATCTATATAATAACATTTCTGTTAACTGACTGTATTCATGACTGCTACCTTTTAACTTTTAATTTTTCCCCCCTTGACAGCCATAAGTCTGGATACGGCGCTTGAGTACTTCCGTTAAAACAGCTATTCCAATATACTTCTGTCCTTCTGTGTCTTTATAACCCCCAGTCCATTTTTGCTTTGTTTAGTTCTTAATATGTTCCAATTCCTATTCTTGTAATGCTTCCTCAGAAGGGGGTTATGTTGGGTTTTATTGGTTCTAAACCATTCTTCTACTCGTGAATCAGCTAGTAATTTAGAAAGAAGGATATCTGCTGAGGACTCGGCCTACTGTCATGTCATCTGTTATGAGGGCCGGAATTAACATAATCACTCATCTGTTATGAGGGCCGGAATTAACATAAATGAGACCCTGTTGGGCCGGGCCAAGTGTGCCATAAAATGCAATGCCAGGTAGCAAAGAGATGGACTTTATAAAGGACGCAAACACAAAGGGTTTTTTTTTACTTAAAATAAAAACATGCTTAAAACATTAGCACTCTTGCAATATTTTGTTTAGTTAACAGTGTCTGATAACTGACACCTCTTGCTCTGAATTATTGCATCAAAATGTCTGTGCTGTTGCAATCTTGAGTATGCTGTTCAGGTGTGTATCTCTAAGCTTCAAACCTATGATGAACTGGAAGAAGAAGTAGAAGACAGCCAGTTCCACTGCGGACCTGATGGAAGCCCTCTGGGGGCCTGATCCGGCCCCCGGGCGGCACGTTTGACACCCCAAGTTAGGCAGATCAGTAATAAAATCCATGGAAATCACCTCCCAAGGTCTGTTGGGAGTTGGCAATGGATGTAACAAACCTGGGGGTTTTCCCCCTCTAGGTTTAGTCATTGCACACAGTTGACAAGATTGAACAAGATTGATAGTTGTTGCCATTTATGAGCATGCGCATGGGTCACTAGGCAACAACTATCAACATATGAGTTAATACAGAAAGCATTGCAGGGTAAGAGGTCCCAACAGGTGAAGCATATATACAATGAACAAATCATGACAGCTTGCTGACATTTTTAAACTTTTAATTTTTTCCCCCTTGACAGCCGTAAGTCTGGATACGGAGCTTGAGTACTTCCGTTAAAACAGCTATTCCAATATACTTCTGTGTCTTTATAACCCCCAGTCCATTTTTGCTTTGTTTAGTTCTTAATATGTTCCAATTCCTATTCTTGTAATGCTTCCTCAGAAGGGGGTTATGTTGGATTTTATTGGTTCTAAACCATTCTTCTACTCATGAATCAGCTAGTAATTTAGAAAGAAGGATATCTGCTGAGGACTCGGCCTGCTGTCATGTCAAAGGTTTAATCCAGGGGTGTCCCTCATTTGTTATGAGGGCCGGATCTGACATAAATGAGACCCTGTTGGGCCGGGCCAAGTGTGCCATAAAATGCAATGCCAGGTAGCAAAGAGATGGACTTTATAAAGGACGCAAACACAAAGATTTTTTTTTAACTTAAAATAAAAACATGCTTAAAACATCAGCACTCTTGCAATAATTTGTTTAGTTATCAGTGTCTGATAACTGACACCTCTTGCTCTGAATTATTGCATCAAAAGGCCTTGAGTCAGCGGGTTGTTCAGGTGTGTGGATTGTTCAGGTGTGTATCTGTAAGCTGCAAACCTATGATGATGATGCAGCAACAGCAGAACTGGAAGAAGAAGCAGAAGACAGCCAGTTCCACTGCGAACCTGATAGAAGCCCTCTGGGGGCCTGATCCGGAAGTTTAATCCATTTTTTTTTTGTCTCACCTTATTATACCAGGGACATTCAAACAGAGCATGTCCTACAGATTTGATCGCACCTAAACCACAGCTGCAGTATGTATTTGAGAATGGTATGACCGCAGAAGTAATGGATTTAATTTTGCAAGCATAATTGCTGGTCTGTACTTTGGGACCATTAAACTGAACAAATACTTCGGAATTGTACAGCTTGGCGGAATCCCCACATGAAGGGAAGAGCAAACCTGCCTAGCTCTGCATATGGTACTGTTTGCATCCGTCTTCAGAGGTTTCACATTACCTACTGCCTGGTCCTTTCAACTGGAGATGCTGGGGATCGAACCTGTGACCTGCATGCCAAGCAGAGGCTCTTCCACTGATCCACAGCCCCTCTTTACAGCTCTCCAGGGTCTCAGGCAGAGGTCTTTCACATCACTTCCTGCCTGGTCCTTTTAACGGGAGATGCCGGGGATTGAACCTGGGACCCTTCTGCACGCCAAGCAGATGCTCTTCCACTGAGCCACAGTCCCTCTTTACAGCTCTCCAGGGTCTCAGGCGGAGGTCTTTCGCATCACTTCCGGCCTGGTCCTTTTAACTAGAGATGCCGGGGATTGAACCTGGGACCCTTCTGCATGCGAAGCAGATGCTCTGCCACTGAGCCACGGCCCCTCCCCTTCAGCAGGGGGCAATTTAGACAATGTAGGAGCGAGCCAATGAAATTATCATCATCCCGCAGGTGACAAGCACAAGGCATAGGAAGGGGTGCACCTAAAACTTGGAACAATTAGGCACTGGGGAGGGGAGGGTACCTCACAGATGAGGAACCATTGCTGAGCCAACCTGGTCTCCGGTCACCACCCACCTGATTTCAGAAACTGGGGGCAACCCAGGTAGGGCTCTGCATGCCCAGCTTAACTGGCAGGTAGGTTCGTTTGGGAATGATGGGGGGGGGGCTCCACCCTGCTCTCTCCCTACCTCTTCTTCCCAGGACTGGTGCTAAGGAAGATGGTCTGTCTGCGGAGACCCACTGCGAATCTCTGGGGGGTTTACATATAAGCCAGTTTGTTCCGTACGCGAAAACCGTGCCCGGCTACTCGGAGCAACTGGAGGCGAGTTTTCTACCCTGGCCAGATGTAACGCTATGCCGTCCGCCATTGTATTTGGCAGATTTAACAAGGTTTCTCATCTGGCCAGATACTGCCCCTGTAGATCGAAATGTGTGGAACCTGTCACTCATGTTCTCCTGCACTGCAATTGGTATATGGACCTAAGGGTCACTTACTTACACTCTCTTTTAACCAGCCATGGGTGCTTGCTCTGATGCACTTAAGGTGAATAGACTTTTAAGAGATCTCAGTCAGGACATCACAGAGAAGGTGGCTACGTTTCTCTGCTTGGCTTTAAAGCTGCGCCAAAGGTTCTTCTAGGATTGTAGATATGAGTTTTAACTGGTTTTAAAATGTACAAATGGTACTGATAATTTATGCCAATAAAGGCTGACTTGACTTGACTACATGAGGAGAGTGGACCAAAAATGTCCCAGTGGCCCAACGAGCCCGGAGTGAGGGAAGCGCTGCAAAGTCTCCAGCGGCCTTTTCCTACCAAGATCCTGTTCCCGGCAACACCCGCTAGGGATGCCACACTCCAGGTGGGACCTGGAGATCCCCCGGAATAGCAGCTCCTCTCCAGAGGACAGAGGTCAGTTCCCCTGGAGAAAATGGCTGCTTTAGAGGGTGGACTCTGTGGCTTTGTACATCACTGAGGTCCCTGTCCTCCCCAGGCTCCACCCCCAAATATCCAGGAGTTTCCCAACCTGGAGCTGGCAACCCTATATCCTTGTCCCCCACCGGCAGCCAGGGTGGACCAGGCAACCCTACATTCACCAGCACAGGAACAGGGGTCTGTCTGCGTCAGGAGCAAGAGCTCCGAACCTTCTCGAGGGTTCAACAGCATGGACTGCCACAGGAGATACCTTCGTAGAGAGCACAAATGACGCCAGGTCAGATAACACTCAAGTGCTGTTGAAAGGCACGAGACACACGCCTTTAAGCAGCACTTGAGTGTTATCTGACCTGGAGTCATTGATGCTCTCCACACTGTAGTTTTGTTTTTTGTTGTTGTATTTAGTGTTTCCTGTAAACGGGATATTTCAGCAGTCTCCCCCCCACTAACATTCAAGGGGCTCTCAGAAGCCTCAAAGGAGCTAGCTGGCCACCTTCCAGATGTGTATTCCACCGTGCCCCAGACAGATGTGAAGAGGCGATAAGGAGGGGGCCGTTTGCATCTGGCTGGGCCCACATTCAGCTGATTCAGGAGAAAGAAGAGGAGGAGGAGCCCCCACACACAGAAGGTTCCCCTTGCTCGAAAGCCAGTCCAATCTGACTCTAGGGGGTGGTGCCCATCTCTGTTTCCAAGCCGAAGAGCCAGCGCTGTCCGAAGACGTTTCCGTGGTCATGTGGCCGGCATGACTAGACACCGAGGCACACGGAACGCTGTTCCCTTCCCACCGAAGCGGTACGTATTTACCTACTTGCAACGTCTTGCTTTCGAACTGCTAATCTGGCAGGAGCTGGGGCCAGAGACGGGCGCTCACTCCATCACGCGGCACTCGGGTCTCGAACTGCCGACCCACAGACCTTCCGGTCTGCAGCTCAGCGTCTTAACCTCTGAGCCACAGCGGCCCCTTCTCTCCACATACATACCGAAGCTTATACTGGTGGGAAAAGGTGGAAGGGGGGGTCCCCCTTTTGGAAATGGTGTTGTAAGATGGGGTTGCCAGATCCGGGTTGGGAAACTCCTGACGATTTGAGGATGGAGCCCGGGGAGGAGAGGGACCTCCGTGGGGTCCAATGCCACAGAGCCCACCCTCCAAAGCCTCCATTTTCTCCAGGGGGAACTGATCTCTGTTGTCTGGAGATGAGCTGTAATTCCTGGGGGTCTCCAGGTGTCACCTGGAGTCTGGCAACCCTCGTGGTGGCTGTAATCCAAAGACATAAATACTTCCATAGTGTTGCCAACTCCAGCTGGGGAAATCCCTGGGGGGTTCTGGGCAGGGGGTGTTACGGAAGGGACGGGGGCTCAGCAGAGATGTGATTTCCTGGAGTCCGCCCTCTAAAGCTTCCGTTTCCTCCAGGGAAACAGAGAGCCAGTTTGGTGAAGTGGCGAAGTGCACGGACTCCGGGGCTTTTTTTGTAGAAAAAGCCCAGCGGGAACTCATTAGGATAATAGGCCACACCCAACGGCAGACACTCATTAGCATAATAGGCCACACCCAACAGCACTCATTGGCATATTAGGCCACACCCTTGACAGCACATCACATTCGCATATTAGGCCGCACCCCCATGTTACCAGAAGTGTGATCATCCAGCCACACCCACCTTTTGCTTCTTATTCTGTTTACTTTGTTGTCAAAACCCAGAGGGTTTTTTTTGTAGCAGGGACTCCTTTGCATGTTAGGCCACACACCCCTAATGTAGCCAATCCTAATGAGTTTCTGCTGTTGGGTGTGGCCTATTATGCTAATGAGTTCCTGCTGGGTTTGGCCAACTCAGGAGCCAGCTGGAACTCCGTTCCTGTGCGTTCCTGCCCAAAAATAGCCCTGGCGCACTCTAATCTGGGAGAACCGGGTTTGATTCCCCACTCCTCCACTTGCACCTGCTGGATGACCTTGGGCAAGCCGTAGTTCTGGCACAGCTGTTCTTGGAAAAGAGCAGTTTCTGTCAGAGCTCTCTCAGCCCCACCTCCCTCACAGGGTGTCTGTGGTGGGGAGGGGAAGGGAAAGGAGTTTGTAAGCCGCTCTGGGAGTCCTTCGGGTAGTGAAGGGCGGGGTGGAGGAAGAAGAGGAGATTGGACTTATACCCCACCCTTCACTACCCAAAGGAGTCTCAGAGCGGCTCACAAACTCCTGTTTGTGATCTGCCATTCTCTCATTTTGTAACCTAGTTTTTATTGCTTTTTAATGGCGTGATCCACCTTGAGTCGTGGTGACAAAAAGCAAGGCTACAAAGGACGTTAAAAAGCCCAGCCATAACAAAAACAAGCAGAGAATGAAGGCCATGAATACCAGCAACTGGTATTCACAGGTGGACTGCCTCTGAACATGGAGGTTCCATTTAACCGCCCCTGTCAGTTGCCATCAATAGAACCTCTCTTTCATTAATGGCCTAAATCCCCTTTCTGAGCCAACTACGAGTGGCCTGCTTGCTACCTTATGTGGCAGTGAATTCCATACTTTCTCTCACAGTGCAAAGATGTAGGGAATACCAGTTTATGGAAATTTCAAGAAGGCAAAAAAATAAATAAAAATAAATGGCCAGTAGGATCTAGCAGAGCCCTTTGCGTTCAAGCAGCCACACTGGATCTCCTCCCCTTTTGTTTGCTCCAGTCCGCCGTGGAGGGAGATGGGAGACCACGTGGTCTAGTGATCAAAGTGTCTGGGAAGCCCCAGGTTCAAATCCCGACCCAGCCACAAAATTCAGCAGTGGGTCTTGGCCCAGTCACTCTCTCTCAGCCTGATCTACATCACAGGGATGCTGTGCATTTAAACGGGGGTGGGGGATGTTGTATGCCGCCTTCGTCTGTGCCTGGAGGAAGGACAGAATAAAAATGTGGCACAAAGGAGGAGAAACTGCCCCTTTTCAGATTCACCCCTCCAAATCTTTCTGTTTGCCTTCGAGGGATTCATTTCTGGCAACTGAGGTTTTTTTTGTGTGTGGGGGGGGTACATGGTTGCAGTGTTCCCTCTAAGCTGAGTTAGTGCGAGCTAGCTCACAGTTTTTTTAGCCTCCGGCTCACACATTTTTGTCTCAGCTCAGGGAGGAGGGCTCCAGAGCAAACTAATTGATGCAGCAGCCAAATTGCTGGCTCACAACTTTAATGCCAGTCGCTCACAAAGGAGAATTTTTGGCTCACAAGACTCCACAGCTTAGAGGGAACATCCCAAAAGTCTGAGAAGGCCCCTAGCCCTCTCTGGGACAGAACAGCGGGGCTCCAATCCGAATTCAAAAGGAAACTTGCAAAGTCCCATTTCAAAAGCAATGGTGGGGGGGGTGGCAGAGCTTACAAGGAGTCTTTAGCCGGATTTGTCATCCGCACCCAATCTCCCGGCCCCGTCTGAGTGCAAGGGGGCAGAGGGGAAGAGCCGGCCTTCCATTTGTTCCCATTCAACTGGCTGCTCTTTCCCAAAAAAACGCCCCCCTTCCCTCTCCATTGTCAGCGAGCGCAGTCTCCATGTGGGCAGGGGCTCCTCTGCCTTCAGCGCCTGGAGCTCCCCGGAGCTCCACATCCCCTGCTTTGCTAGCCATATAAATACGGGGGAAGGTAAAAGTCGGATCTTGCCCCGTGTTCCCTCTAAGCTGAGTGAGTGTGCGCCAGCTCCCAGGTTTTGAGCCTCTGGCTCACACGTTCTGGCCTCGGCCCAGAGCAACCCGATTGATGCCGCGGCCAAATCACTCCCGCACAGCTTTAATGCCAGTCGCTCCCAAAGAGCATCGATGCGGCTCCCCCAAGAGGAAAGACCCCACCCCCTTCCCAAGCCCTCCACCTCGCCTCTGCTCCCCCAGTTCCTGAAGACGGTACCTTGATCCGGGAAAACCCGGATGATGTTCCCGGGGACGTCGAATTCTTCCACCCAGCAGGCGTCCTTGGGCTTCTCCTCGGCGGCCGGCGGGAAGGTCCTCCGCTGGAACATCTTCCAGAGGAGAGGGGGCACAGGGGCCGGAGATCGGGGACTGGGCT